GGCTATTTTTGAGGTGAGTGGACCACACCCTAACCCCCTGGAAGTGACATTCTCCCTTTTTGGCTATTTATGAGGTGCGTGGACCAGTTGCAGGGCCTATGACACCTACTGACCCTCCGCCTCAATCCCCCCCCAACCCCCGCCCCCGGCCCCCCAAATCCCAACACCCCGACCCCCAGGAAATCACATTCTACCTGTTTGGCTAATTTCGAGGTAAGCGGCATCTGAAAAATAAGTACGTTTTCCTGCATGCCACCTGCTGAAACTTCTTTGTTGTACCTCAATCCCCTTAATATTACATTTTGTTCTTTGTCGGATAAACTTGATAGTATGTTACAAATTCTTTTGTCGGGCAGAGATCCTGAACGTCAAAACTTAATATTACGCTACAAACGTTGACTGAACAATCCAAACGTCAGCACCCCAACCATCTTCAAAATCACCTTGACCCCCCATGGAAATCAAATTTTGCCCTTTTGGCTATTTTCGAGGTGAGCGGCATCTAAGAAATGAGCACTTGGTTTTGTCTTCCTGCAATCCGAGCCTCTACACCCCAATCCTCTGAATATGAAGTGAATCTTAAACTACGAATTAATTCGCAATTTTTTTCGCACACGCTCTAAGCGGGTCATTAATTCCTGCGAGCAAAGGTAGAGGACGAAACCTTGAACCACAAATTAATTCCCAAATGCATTCACACACTAAGTCGTTGGAAGAGGTGAGGAGGCATTGTAAGCGGGATAGAAATGCCACACACTGAGTTATTGGAAGAGGTCAGGAGACGCTGTAAGCGGGATAGTAATGTCTACCAGCAAAGCTAAAGGACCCAATTTCAAACTCGGAAATATTCCGTATATAAGGACCTTGCCCACATTGAGCCTGACAATTGTGATGCATCGTATAGTTCCCACTCACGCAGATGTGAATAATTGCAATTCTGGTGCATCTTTATCCGTCAATATGGCAGTTGAGCGCAACATAAAATCAAAGCGCAGGGGTAAGGTATCACACATTTTCAAGCTCTAGCATCCAACGTAACATAAAGGCGAGTGAAAACTCATGGTAAAGGTGCCAACGGCTATTATTCGTTGTTAACGGTCATTTCCGCATTACATGAGATTACAACTTGATTTCACGTTCGCTCATCCATGGCAGACCCGTTGTCGACCTTTTTTAGCGAAAAAGAATGGGCATCGGGAATTGCAAAAGGCTAAAAGCTACCACGTCGACTTATGCTTTGATGGTCCGATAATGGATGTCAATGCCACGTCACCATTATTGTGAAGGTGCGACAAAGGTTGCTTCTGAATTTAGAAGCAGTAGTCGCAAGAGGTGAGGTGTTCTAAGTGAGTAAGAAGTCTCTTGAGCAAAAGTAAAAGAGGGAATCTTAAACTACGAATTAAATCGCACATGCTTTTGCACTGTGAGTCATCGAAAAATGTGAGGAGACACTTTAAGCCACCACTCCCTCCGACAACAGGAAATAGCCTCCTTGTGAGTTCCAACAGGTTCTTCGGGAGGGTGGCGACCGGAGGCCGAAACGACGGGCCCAGTCTCGCAATTTGATAGCGACAACTTTGACGATTTTTCTCGCTTAGAATAATTCACAAAAAATTCAAAAAATTTGAGGTTTTGTAGATTTGCTCGTGATCCTTTCAGGAGAAATATAAAAAATATGAAGGAAGTGCTTGTGGCATGCTGACCTTGCCAAGTTGGAGGAGCCAATTTCACTATCGGCAACACTAACACAATGGACAAACTTTTTCGCGATTTATCCGTTTTTTTTCGATAAGACAGAAGGTAATCATTTCGGCAAAATATAATTTTTGCATAAGTGATCAGTCTTCTGGTGACAAACAATTTTGGCCTGTCATCCATTTTGGCGAATGCAGCATATCGATCCTTGAGCGACAAACAACGTTGAAGTGCAGGGGTCAAGCACACATACATTCTAGCGATAACACAATTGATGGACATTTTCGCAAACTTGCACATATGAACAAATGTATGACTTCCAAATTGCGAATACGTTCGCATTTGTCATATGGAAACAACAATCAGCATTCAGTGGAGACTACCACATGTATTTTGACGATAACAAAATTGGTGACCATTTACTTTACCACTAAAGTTTCTAGAGCCTATAAAATAACGTTAAACATAAATACATTCTGACAATAATTGATTTCGAAATTGAAGAATACGTTCGCAATTCTCATATGGAAGCAACAGTCAACATTAAGTGAAAACAAAAGTGTTCACGGCACACGAAGAATTGACCTCGGTTGCAGAAGACGAGACAGGCGGAAGGAGGGTGGTTGTGGGGAGCAGGGTACAACAGAAGGGGTGAACCGAAAAATGGGGCGGTACGCACAGAAGAGGGGCGAGCCAAAATATGTGAAAATTCGGCATGGGGGGGGGGGGAGGACTTTCATACTATGAAGTCGTGCGTAAGAAAGAGATAAGCACGAAACAATTTGACGACCGAGAAGAAATCATTGATATCTTTCACCAACATCTTGCTAAATGAACTAGAGTATCGAGTCCTCTGAGCATGAGTGTAAAAAATGTTCACAAGAGGATAAAGATTGTCCCATGAGTAACACACGGATACAACCTGGAAATGAAAAAAGGCAGCACGACGCTGTTGTGGTCATAGAGGACATAAGGAGAATAACCCGAAAACAAACAAAGGCAGCACGAGGCTGGGATATTCATATCGATATCTAAGCGTCTATTGAAAAGATACTGCACAACGAGGCTTGAATATTCACATCGACATTTAAGCGTGTACTTGACCTAAGCGTCCACTGCAACCCTCTAGCTGATGTTGGGCGGTAAGGAAAGAGAATAACCTGAAAATAAACGAAGGCTGCACGACACTGCCGGGGTCCTAAAAAACAGGCTGCACGACACTGCGACATTTACATCGGAAAAACTAAAAAAACAAGAAAGTCAAAGAAAGTCCTACGAGTAAAAATGTAAGGTTCCTCGAAATGAAGAACCCTTAAAACATACTGCAGCATGAGGCTGGGATATTCACATCGACATGTAAGCGTGTACTTGATCAAAGCGTCCACTTCAATCCTCTACCTCATCAAAACAACATTACAGCTCGAACCGACTGACTGTTAGACTAAGTGAGAATAGATTCGCACTTCTGTTTATGACCTTGCGAACAAAAAACTTTGTGTATTTTTAAAATAGGGGTATTATCTTGAGCCTTGGAGTATGTCCACCGCAATTCTCAGCTTGATGTTTGAAATGTTGCTTTGGGCTATCGGAAACGGTGGCGGATGACCGCGTGCCAGAAAAGAAACGAGGGCGAGCATGAAAACACCGCAGCTCGACCCGTCTGACTGCTGATACACACCATGAACAACCACCTTGGGGTCAAGGAGAAGTAGTTTCCTGTGTTGACCAAGTTGACGAACTGCTTCGTTAGAGAGGTATTTCATGAAGTTGCCAAACACATGGGGAAAAAAACCGCCATCGTCTTGAAGGAGGGAGTCGTGGTACTCCAGTCGTCCGTCGCGGACGCATAATAGGGTCCAATGCACTCGATTTTTATGAACAGGAATGATTAGCATGTCGTACGAAAAAACATTCACATCTTTTGTCCATCTCGGAACCCTATCATGTCGACGTCCCGTATCGACGAGCTTGTTATAGAAAAATGAACTGAAAGTATAAACAGAGGGACACCCCAGCAAAGTAGCATTGTCAACCAAGGCCAAGTAGAACTCCACCACCTCGTGGCAAAACCATCCCCCTTGGACAAGAGTCTGAAGATTTTTTCTGCTCAATAGAATACAACTGGTCCTTTTGCGAATCGAGGAAACCACCTCGTGGCCGTTGCTGAAATCTTCGCATACGTCCTGCAACATTCTCAAGTCTATACCGCTAAGCTCCTCAGTAGTCAACGATACGTGAAAAAATGATGTAGCCGCGGTTGCATAAACACCCACGAACAAGTGTGGGGAGCTGCCAAAACCAGCTTAACAACCGGGGGGAATTGGTTAAAAAATATTTGCCCTTTTCTTAGAAAAGATATAACCCTGACTGTTGAATGTGTCATTGGCGATGTAGTAAGGATACGGGTCTTTGACGATACCCCGTTTGGCATCATCATCATACCCATTGGACAAAGCAGTAACGCTTTCAATAGACGCTACCACATATTTCTGCAAAGTTTCCTCCTTATCTATTCCACTAACCTTCAGAACCCTGACAGCTCTCTCAGAAAGGCGAGGCATCTGGATTCTTCTAAACAACCCTACACTTGAGTACTTCTCCGGTAAAGCGGCCAATGACCTCCCTAGAAAAGATTTCCCGCGCATGACTTTTGAAGGCTTCATGGGCGGGGACATTGACAACCTCACACCTACAAAACATAAAAAATAACCCACAACCCACAAGCTTATTTTTAACAAGTGGTAATAGCTACATGAGCTTATCATATCAATATGGATGACCACAAAGTTGAACAGTGACAGATATGCGAGTGCTACTATTCACAAATCTTACCGTGCTCCGTAATCCTTCGAGGGAAATCGGCCTCTTGCCTCGCCAAAGTGCCAACGTCCACGGAGGATTCGATGTTCTGCACCTCGGCCACAGCTGAGTCGCTAACCAGCTCGATGGCTGCTGAGTTGCTAACCAACGTGATGGCTTCATGAAGCACAATTTCCCGACCGGTACTGAGGAGAGACGCTCGATCACCTTGTTCTTCAACGCAGCGGGTGGACGGAGAATCATGATCTCTCCGCTCTGGATCCATCTGAACGCCAACCGACACCTCACCACCAAAAAGCCGAGCTTCCACTTCAGGTTCTTGGCCTTCCTCATCGCCATGAAATCGAACTTCCACCACGGGTTTTTCTTCGACTTCCTCTTCGCCAAGAAGTCGAGCTTCCACAAATGACCACGCACGTCCTTCCTCCCCACAGTCTTTGCCTTCCACGAACGTCCACTGACCTCCCTTAACGTCACCCTCTTGCGTCGTTAGTGGCGACCCACTGTGCATAACCTCTTCGGTGTCCCCAATGTTGATGGTATATCCCGATGAGCCCTAGAGAAGCTTCTCAACCCGCTGCACAACATGCGCTTCTTGTGAGAGCTCCTCTTCCCCCGGAGTTGCTGTAGTCTTGCTCTCAAAATCAACAGAAGCACCCTCTGAAGCATGATAGTGATGCTGGCTAGCCCCGGTCTCCGACACTCCTGCATCGAGCCCCTCAAACACTTTGCGAGGCTGCCAGTGCTGAGTCTCCTCTTCCCGTTGCACAACATGTGCTTCCTGTGAGAGCTCAACTTCCCCCGGAGCTGCTGTACTCTTGCTCTCAAAATCGACATTCGCACCCTCCGAAGCATGATAGTGATGCTGGCTAGCCCCAGTCTCCAACACTCCTGCATCGAGCCCCTCAAACAATTTGTGAGGCTGCCAGTGTTGTGTCTCCTCTTCCCGCTGCACAACATACGCTTCCTGTGAGAGCTCGACTTCCCACGGAGCTGTTGTACTCTTGCTCTCAAAATCGACGGACGCACCCCCCGAAGCACGACATTGATGCTCACTAGCCCCGGTCTCCAACACTCCTGCATCGAGCCCTCCAGCACTATGCGAGGCGGCCAGTGTTGAGTCTCCTCTTCCCACTGCACAACATGCGTTTCCTGTGAGAGTTCCTCTTCCCACGGAGTTGCTGTACTCTTGCTCTAAAAACTGATGGACGCACCCTCCGAAGCATGACATTCATACTCGCTAGCCCCGGTCTCCAACGCTCCTGCAGCGGACCCCTCCATCACTTTTCGAGACGGTCAGTCTTGAGTCTCAACATTTGAGAACGGCGGTGAGCAGGGGAACACTGTGTCCAACTGAAGATATGGGGGGTTGCACCTCACATTTTCTTCACCCCGCAAAAGTGTAGCGTGAGGAGCACTGTTGGTGGAAGGTCCGCAGGGCGACGTAAGTAACTCCGAATCTATTCGGATTTTGTGGCGCTCGGCAGAGCTGAGGGAACTGGCGCTGACACCTTCGCTCCTTCGCAATGCGGGCATCCCGGCATCCAGGCAAAACGAAGACGCAGTTCCTGGTAACGAATGGTTTTGCTGCTCAAGAGAGGTTGCCGTATGCTGCACACGTTCGCCTTCTTCCAAGAGGTGAATGAGTAAGGTGTTGTCCACAAGATACGCCGACTGCGTACTCGGGCACGGACTCTCCTCGACATTACAAAACAACGTCCTCGCAGACAAGTGCGAATCTACTCGCACTTGATGAGACCTCAGAGCGGCCTCGTCTCGCATGTAGGAATCTCGACTCCCTTCGCAGTGGCTTTCAATTCCCCTAGACTCGTGACTCCCGAAAACTCTACGCTTTCCGCTCGACCCCTTTCTACCTGACCCCTTTCCGGCTGACCCCTTTCCGCGAGACCCTTTTCCGCCGGACCCTTTTCCATCGGAGCCCTTTGATTCCGACAACGTTTCACCTGACCACTTTCCGGCAGATCGCTTTTCTCCAGAACCCTCTTCGCCCGACCTCTTCCGCTCTGCTTTGTCAGCACCAGATCCTGAGCCGTCTCCTCCGTCACCTCCTCCACCAGATCCTGAGCCGTCTCCTCCATCACCTTCTCCACCACCTCCCGGATGCTGACCACCGGCCGGAGGTTGAGGCATGCGCCAATCAATGCAACGAGATGGTGCCATTTCAAGTGTGTAGAAAGGCGCTCGAAATTCCAATATTTTGTTGTCGTAGAGCTCGTCGAGCTTTTGGCCTGCATACGCATTGACGTCATGTGGGCTCCTTTCGGGGCTTACTACACTCAAATGTTCCACTAGAGCTTCTCTGGCCTTTTTCTTAAATGGACCCGCTCCCAGTCTGTTCAGGGCACTCCACTTGCTGGCGGCTTCCTTTATTGCCATGACCCACTTTCCATTCTTTATAGCAGGCTGGAATTTTCTGGGGTGCCAGACGACGTTGTGGCCCTAGACATCCTCTGTTGTGAACCGGTGGTGCTTCCCATAGAAGAAGAGCCTATCATTCTCCCAGGTATCATGGTCCTTAGGCCCTAGCTTAGGGAGCTTATCAATAGGTGCGTATTCATAGTCTCTCTCTTTTTTTCCGTCGTCAGACGATTGGTCTTCGATTGTTTCACGCTCAAATACACGCTCCAAACTGGCAGGGGACGTGCTATATATCTGAGGACCACCTTCCCCTTCATCATCAACCTGTGTCACCACCCGAGGAAGTGGCATGGACTCAAAATCGAAGGTTTCAGAGTCGCTCACCTCCTCCATGTCTTCAGCGTCGAAAGGGTCGTCCTCGTCAAACTGCGCCTTGTAGTTCTCGAGGGTTAGTGCTTTTGCCATCAAGAAGAAAACGTGCTCCAACCTTTTCAGGAAATTTGAGACAGACTCCCCGGGTGCACCGTGGTAACCATTCAGCACACCGAGCACCAGGTTTCTCCATAGATTGTATTCGAGGTCGGTCTAAGCAGGCGGTCCTGGTTAGAATAGGAACTCTCAAACCTCCATTCTTTTCTTCTCCGGTAATTTCCAATACATATCACGTTTGGGATCCCAGTTTCGTTCGCCGGTGGTCTGGACAAAAGAGCAATGGTTGCGGGGGTCCCCCACGCGTGTCTTCATGAACTCATGAAGGTAATCGATCATCTTCGCCTCGTCCTCTAACGCAATGACGTTTCGACCGCTACACAGGAGTTCCCACACGACACATGCATGCGCCTTCCCAAAGAAGAAAACAGTTTGCCCAACTCTACAAAAGTTTTCGAGTAGACTAATTAGATAAGTTAGGTTTCGTTCCCGGTCCCCGTAAGCAACTCCTCGAACACTTGCCACACCGCCGTCCTCCCACTGGCTGCGAGGGAACTTGTCCTCGTCTGCCACGTCGAAACAGGCCACAGCCTGTCCCGAAGGGTCAGAAGAACAACCAGCTTTCGAGCGGGCTGCCCCCACGGGTTTGGCCGGACTTGGAGCATTCGCAAGGGGTTGCTTCGATGGACTACCGGACGGGAACACTGTGATCGTGTTGTCTGCCAAGTTCTTGTCATTGAAAACGACATATAGGCAATCATATTCCTCGACCAGCATACTGCCTTTCGGACTGTGGCCTTCCTTTGTGCATGGCGCACCCACTTCCCTATCCTTACGTGATGAACGCTAAGCTTGGCCATGCCTTTCAAGAAACTGAGCTCCTAACGCGATGGGAAAGACCATAAATATCCAATGCCTTGCCGATAGGGTTTGGAGAACGCCTTGCAAGGAGGTGAAATCGCTTTCTTGCCAATCTGACAGGAGCAGCGTTGTCGAGCGGGGATCCCCGGGGACAAAGCCGGTGTGAGGCAGCGGCCCGGAGCCCCTCCGCGGGGACCATCCAACCCCGTTCCCGCTGGACGACCCCCGCCGCCGCCCAGCCCCGGGTACCCCACCGCCCAACCCCGCAGGCCCGCCACCGGCCCCGCACACCCGCCCCCGCACCGCCCCC